AGCAGTTCTGGTGAAGGTTGGCGACGGCAAATCCTACGCGGAAATCTTGCGCGCTGTCAGGGACACAGACATGGACTTTGAGGCCATGGGGACGCACGTTACGTCCATGAGAAAGACGTTTAAAGGCGACCTCCTCGTGGAGCTCACAAAAGGCGCAAAGGCCATAGCAGCCACCTCCGTCATCCGGGACAAACTGGCCGAAAACATCGTAGGATCAGTAGTCACCAGACTCAGAAACACCGCAGAAGTAGAGATAACAGACCTTGACGAGGTGACCACTAAAGATGAAGTCTTGGCGGCCATCTGCAAGGCCTTACACAACGACGACCCGCCTTTCGAAGATGAAGTCAGAGTAACCGGCCTGTGGAGCACACGCGAAGGTCGCCAAATGGCCACCGCTACCGTTCCAGTCACGCTCAGCCAAAAGCTGACCTCTATCCGAGTCGGCTGGACTCAGTGCCGTGTTCGCCCGCGCAGACCAGAACCAGCCCGGTGCTACAGGTGCCACGGGTTCGGCCACTCGACATCGCGATGCACCGGTCCTGACCTCTCCTCCGCCTGTAGGAGATGCGGCGAAAACGGACACACCCAGGCCACCTGCTCGGCGTCCGAAGATCTCTGCGTGGCGTGCGACAGCATTAAAGCGACCCGCGTCCCTCACAAGCCCGGCTCCGGAGCTTGCGCCGCCCGAAGGAAGGCCATCTCCGAGATGAACGCGAATAGTAAAAAATGATCAACATCCTACAAATCAACTTACACCGGAGTTCTACAGCACAGAGCCTTCTCCAGCAAACCTCTACGGAAAGGGGAGCCCACGTTCTCATATTGTCGGAACCGAACTGGATTCCCGCAAACGATGACAGGTGGGTCAGGAGTACCGACGACACCTGCGCCGTAGCTCTCACTTCAGCAGCAGATTTCGTCCCTGAGTCAACAGGCTCCGGACGCGGATTCGCCTGGATTCAGGGCCGACGACTGCGGATCTACAGCTGTTACAATTCACGTAACGACACCGACGAAAACTTCACCGCCTTCCTGGAAGACATACAGCAGTCCGTGCTCAACTGCGACCATCGAACCCAAGTTCTCATCGGGGGCGACTTTAACGCCTGGTCGCAAGATTGGGGCTCTGCACGCAACGACAGGAGAGGTGAACAACTCGCAGATCTCGCAGCCAGTCTGAACCTGAGCGTCGAAAACTCCGGTCACACCGCCACCTACCAGCGGATCAACGCCGAGTCCATTATCGACGTCACCTTCTCCCGACTGATAGCACCTGCCGTTATTCGCGGATGGAGGGTGCTTGTCGAAGTGGAGTCCGCCAGCGATCATCGGTACATCGAATTCACGCTAGACCCGACAGCGGACGTGGAAGACATACGTGAGATCCCCTCAAGAGGCTGGTCTTACCGGCAGCTCGACCCTCACGCTTTGGCTGAACATCTGGCGACCACCGCTAAACCCGTCGTCAACGACGACACCACCGCTTCGATCGCAGCTGATCAACTTATTGGCTACCTGGAGGCAGCGTGCGACTCCTGCATGCCTCCAAGGGCCACCGGAAGAAACGGAAAGAAGCAAGTTCACTGGTGGTCCAAAGAATTGGCTGAACTCCGCTCATCGACCACAAAGTTGCGTAGAGTGCATCAACGATCGGCACGGAGGCATGATCTCCAGCATGTTACTGAAGCCCACCGTGAGACCTACAGGGCGAAACGGAAGGAGCTCCGAAACGCCATTCGCGACTCTCAGACAGCGAGCTGGACTGATCTCTGCAAGGCAGTCGACGACGATCCTTGGGGTCTACCATACAGGGTGGTGACCAAGAAGATCGGCCGCCGGCGCCCAGGTATTGAAGCCCAAGGAATGGAGGACTCCATTGCCGACCATCTGTTCCCAGATCCTCCGGCAACAGACTGGTCCCAAGAGCCCCGACTGATCAACGATCTTGCTCCGCCAGTAGTGGACCCGTTCACACCTGAGGAGCTGCGAGAAGCATGCCTTCGTCTTCCGGCTGGGAAAGCCACCGGCCCAGACTGTATCCCGAATGAGGTCCTCCTCCTGGTATCCAAGATCGTGCCAGATGTGCTATTGAGGACGTTCAATCGATGTCTCACAGTTTGTGAATTTCCTGAAAGATGGAAGATCGCCAGGCTGGTTCTGCTACACAAGGGCCAGGGAAAATCCACAAACGATCCTTCCAGCTACAGGCCCCTGTGTATGCTGAACTCAGCGGCAAAACTTTTGGAGCGGCTCCTGCTCATGAGACTAAACCGTCATCTTGACGAAACAGGACAGAGATCTCAGAATCAGTACGGGTTCCGATACGGACTTTCAACGGATGACGCGATTGAACGGGTCTTACGAGCAGCAAGCGGAGCCGCAACCGGCGCCGTCCAGCATCGTGACCTCTGCGTCGTCGTGTCGCTTGACGTGCGTAACGCGTTCAACACCGCTCCATGGCCACGCATCGACGCCGCTCTCCGCGAAAGACTTGTGCCACCAACACTCAACGGTATGATTCGCTCTTATCTCGAGGACAGGACACTAATCGTCGGCGGAGCACACGCAAACCGCAGAGTCACCTGCGGAGTTCCACAGGGCTCCGTCCTCGGTCCAGCACTCTGGAACGTGTTCTATGAGGAGTTGCTCGAGTCTGACATGCCACCAGGAGTTCAACTTGTCGCATTCGCAGACGACGTCGCCGTCATCGGAATCGCCCGAACCGGACCGTCGGCAGCAGATCTACTAAACCCTGTCCTAAACACCGTATCTAACTGGATGAACGCAAATGGCCTCCAACTGGCCCCTCAAAAATCCGAAGCAGTAGTTCTTACAAACAAACATCGATTCGATAAACCACTCCTCTACGTCGAGGGCCATGAGATACCGGTAAAACCTGCCATCAGGTATCTCGGAGTTGAGCTGGACACTCGATTGTCATTTACTATCCACGTCGCTACGGCATCGAAGAAGGCGACTGAGTCGGCCAGATCAATCGGACGCCTGATGCCGAACGTTGGCGGCCCGTCGACGTGCAAAAGAGCGCTCCTCGGAACGGTGGTAAATAGTAAACTGCTATATGCTTCGCCAAACTGGGCCAGCCGAGCAACTAAAACTGCTAAGAACAGAGACGCGATGGCCAGGGCACAGAGGACTGTGGCACTACGCGTGATACGTGCCTACAGAACTGTGTCAACCGTAGGAGCCTCCGTGCTCGCGTCCATGGTGCCAGCTGACCTGTTGGCCATCGAACGCGGTAGAATCCGACGTCGCCTCGACGACCAGGCTGACGAAAACGATATCAACACCCTTCGAAAACAGGAAAGAAAGATCAGCATAGTAGCCTGGCAAGCCCGATGGGACCGCGCAAGCACGGCAAGGTGGACGCACAGGCTTCTCCCAGATCTTAGTCGTTGGCTCGAAAAGCCACCATTGAATATGACTTTCAGGCTTACACAAGCCCTCTCCGGTCACGGCTGTTTTAGGCAGTACCTTCATAAGATGAAAAGAGCAGAGGACAGCTACTGTGTGTATTGCGTTGACCCCAACGACACGGTGGAGCACACGCTGTTCGTCTGCCCAAGATGGTTTGACAATCGCCTACGGATGTCCGAACTCTTGAGGAGGAATCCTAAACCCGAAGACGTCCAGGAAATCCTGTGCGGACCCCGAATCCAAGATCTCCCGTCGGACTCGATCTCCCGAACAAGGCTACTCGATCAAGCTAAGGTAAATCGACGGGAGTTTATTTACATGATCGAAACCATCATTTCCACCAAGGAAGACGATGAGAGGGAGGACGAAGCAGACGACATGGCCGTAGCTAACAGACCACGAGCTCCAGTAGCTGCTGACTGATCCTCCACAAACGACCAACGAAAAATGTTCTCATCAGAACTGCCAACCGGCAGAGGACCGATCAAACTGGCCAGCGGCAACGCTGGGCCAAGAAGAAGAACGTGAACCCGACAAACCACGGATTCCCACAAATCGTCGGAGGTGTCACCGACCACGTTCTTCTTATCTCCAATGACACCACGGGTGGGGAACGACCATACCGGATCGACAGCCGATCCAACCCGAACGTGACTCGAGAGCGGCGGACTCCGGTCGGCTCGTGAAGAGGATGACCAGAACGAGACAATCAGGGTGGCGGACTCCGGTCGGCCCGCCAACACGGACCTGTTACGGGAATACGAGGGCGACGGACTCTGGTCGGCCCGCGAAGACCACTTCGAGCCGACAGAAACAAATAATGTAATATAACATGAATACTTGTATTATATAACTTAGGACAATGTCGGGGAGTAATTCAGGGATTGTCTGGATTACCCCCACGTATGTATAATTATATGATTTATGTCAAATAAACGATGGCGGCGTCGCGGAAGTAATGCGCAAGCAGTCCCCGCGGCGTCGTCGGTTCAAACTGCAAAAAGGTTAGGTTAGGTTAGGTTAGGTTAGGTTAGGTTGAGTCGCGCGTATATTATATCAGTCGCGCGTATATTATATCGAGTCGCGCGTATATTATATCAGTCGCGCGTATATTATATCAGTCGCGCGTATATTATATCAGTCGCGCGTATATTATATCAGTCGCGCGTTAGGTTAGGTTAGGTTAGGTTAGTTAGGTTAGTTAGGTTAGGTTAGGTTAGGTTAGGTTAGGTTCTCCTCTCTCCTACGTACACTCCTCTCTCCTACGTACACTCCTCTCTCCTACGTACACTCCTCTCTCCTACGTACTCTCCTCTCTCCTACGTACACTCCTCTCTCCTACGTACACTCCTCTCTCCTACGTACACGTCGCGGGGACCAGTAACAATTACGCACTAGGTGTTCTACATAGCAACAAAGATGGTCATAAGTTCATGGTCGACGTGAACGGCTCCGTTCACTGGATAGCCCGTCCACAAGTACAATCGATGAGCGAAAACCCTCGGAAGAGGGTGAATCCTGAGCCGGAGGAAATCCCCGAAGACGAGCACCCCGCTAACGACATGTCGATCATCCTCCAAGCCGTAGTGACAAGGCTAGGCCGCATCATAGGTAATCTGGAGTCCGGCCCCACCTCCGTGGAGGCTTCTCAGCTCTATAGCATTCTCGAAGCCCTGACCGCTCGGCTTCGCGCAAAGGGTACTCTTAAGAACCCCCCACCAGCCGAGATACAAACATCTTCTTCGGAGACGCAGACGAGCAGGCCAAACTCGCCGTCCAACCTGCCGCTCACTAAGGATGCGCCCTGCGCTAGATGCGCCCACACGGGTGACTCAGCTACGGGAATGGAGGTGGACTAGAACACCTCATGTAACGGGAACCGATCTAAGAGGAAACGGGGCAAAGCAGCTGCTCCTAGGGCTACCGTTCCCAAGCCGGGAGCTTCGGGAACGCCCAGGGGCACCTCCGCAGAAGAGTCGGGAGGCTCGTCCAAGCAAGCCACCTGGACGGAAGTGGTCGGCAGGAACGGGAGGAAAGCCGCCCGCGACTCCGGTCAGAACTCGCCAGGTGACACGGAGTTTCCCCCCCTCCCCCTACCGACCAGGCCACCACCAAGGAAGCTACCACCGCTGCGTAGCTCCGCTCTGATAGTTAAGGTTCCCGAGGGGTCCACTTACGAGGACACCGTCAGAAAAATCCGGCAGTCCGGGGTCAACCCAGACGACTTTGGGGCTACCGTCGCTGGGTTTAGAAAAACAAAGGCCGGTGACGTAGCGGTGGACCTCGGAAAAGGCCAAAAATCCAGGGCTGCTGCTGAACCTCTGATGAAGGCGCTTACCGAAAAACTCGACGGAGTAGTCGCCTCTGTCACAAACTCCGGAAACGTGGTGGAAATGGAGGTCATCGACCTGGAGCCCACTTCCACTGCTCAAGAGGTCTTGACCGCGGTTCGGGAAGCCCTGTTAGCCGCCAACAACGGGGATCAGGCTGTAGCCGCAGCTACTCATTCGGTGACCGTGACCTCGATGTGGGGCCTCAAGAACGGGCAGCAGGTGGCTAAGGTCAGTGTACCTAGGGCTGCTCGTCCCACCGACGTCGGGAGAGTCAGGGTAGGATGGACCAGCTGCAGGTTTAGGATTCGTCGTCCGGACGCTGTTCGCTGCTTCAAGTGCCATGGTTTCGGCCATACCCAAAGCGCGTGCACCGGTCCCGATCTCAGCGGGGCCTGTCGCAAGTGCGGTGAAACTTCGCACAAAGAGAAAGACTGCAAGTCTGACTCTAAGTGTGTTGCTTGCGATCGCGCCGGGTTCAAGTACAACCCGCACAGGCCGGGTACCGCCGGTTGCAAGGCCAGATGCTCCGCTGAGTCTTGGCGTTCCAGAAAACCGGTGAAATGATTAACTTCCTGCAAGTTAATCTCAACGGGAACTGGGATGCCCAACAACTCCTCGATCAAACGGTCAGGCAGAGGGATATCGACATCCTTAGGTCGGACACTGCTGAGCACACTCTGTTCCACTGTCCAAACTGGGATGGTCTTCGCGGCGATCTCCGAAATCGGCTAGGCCGCACTCCTTCAGTGGCAGACGCGCCCGACATCCTGTGCGGGCCACTCTTCGAGGATCTTCCCGCCAACCACCAGGAGAGAGATCTCGCTTTGAGGGAGGATGAGGAGACTTTCAGGATTTTCTACAAAATGGTCGTAGACATCCTGAAGCTCAAAGAAGAAGAGGAAAGGGTTCGTCAAGCCGCTGAAGTCAACGACTAGCCAACCACGCACGAGATGTCCAGGGCGGCGGGCTGCGGCCGGCTCGAGAAGAGGAAAGGTGCACGAGATGTCCAGGACGGCTGGCTTAGGCCGGTCCGGGAAGAGGCTTTCTTTGACGAGATGTCTAGGACGGCTGACTGTTGTCGGTCCGATAAGACGTCGAACACTTTGTATAAAAAATTAATAATAATATTGGTTGTAAGGGGGATAACTCGGGGCATGTCCCTTGGATCCCCCAATGATCCTGTGTTAATAATCTGTTCATCCTCAGGGGATTCGTAGCTTGCACATATATACTAGCATTCGCTGAGGAAAGTAGGTTACGGTGTCCTGCAGGATACTCAAAGTTGTATATATTGTTTTAATTCAATAAACGATGCTGCATGAGGGTTAAGCAATGTGAAAACAGTTCGGCCCTCATGTAGTGATTTTCAATGAAAAAGGTTAGGTTAGGTTAGGTTAGGTTAGGTTAGGTTCAGTCGCGCGTATATTATATCACAGAGAGCACGTATCTCTGTGCCGCTCCGTGTTTATTTGTTTCGCCCGGCGCCAAACATTGTCCGTTTTTTTCGCGGTTTAGCTTAAAAGATTCGTCTTTACGCAGTGATTCTTCCGGTGTAATTCGCGTTACTATACGGTCATTATTACCTGAGTATTCGCGAGTTGTGTACGGTGATTGTAGGTGGTA